ATGTCCAACAGTTGCAAAGAAAGTGTTAAGAGAATTACTTATTTCCTTTGGGTTGAATATCGTTTCCGAGTCGGCGTTAACAAGGCGGTGTATTTATGATTGGTTACTATTAGTATTTCTTGAAATGATATCATTTATACCTCTCCACGTTTCTTTGGAGTTGTTAATATTTTCTTCAAAATATAACGTTCATAATAGTTCTTCTTGCTTAAACGCGTTAAGCTGGTTAATTTGTTTCGGTATGATTTATAGTTCTCCCAGTCAGCATTAAAAAATAAATTATTTTTTATTCGTATTGAAGTTCGAATTCCTTTGGTGATCCATGGTTTTGATAATATTTTTTCCCTGCGCCTGGAGAGAGTTTTCATCGGAGCATGCTTATTTACAAAGGAGTTTATTTTTTTGGAAAAAGTTGTGAATGATTTGTTTGCGTCAATGTTTGACATATTATCCCATTCTGTTTCTTGCAGTTCAGAAAGGAACATATTAGCATTGAAATTAGAAGGAAAGGAACTTGACCTTTCGGCCAAAATTATCCACAGCAGAAATCGCTCCCTCTCCCACTCCTCCCCGCAGTGACATTTTGAATACTGATTGTGAGGCTCGCGGAATTTTTGATTTGCATTGTAAATTTATATTCACTAATTTAATATTCCTCTCAGTTCTGCCTCGATTTTTAAATTGCGTGAAGCTCACAACTTTGCTTGGCTGCTCGTTTTAAAGCTACTCATCTTCAACCACAGTTTTTTTTGTTGGACAAACCGCAGCCTAACATATTCTAGGAGGCTCTTTTGTCCGACGGTTCAATCTCAAATGCTGAATGGTGTGGAATATCAAGTTTTTAATGTCCTACGGTCTTCATACGCGTCTCAACCAGCGACGGAAAAATGAGCGGACTGAGTCAAGCCGTGAAGCGACCGAGGTCTACTCTTCTTTGAATTCATGTGAGTCATTCAGTGTTGTTTTTCTGCACTTTGATCTCAGTTAACAAATTTTCTTTTCTGCTCTGGGAGAGCGTTAGTTAGTTTTCAGAACTAAATGTGCCCAATCTCTCACCCATGCCCCTCGCATTCTTCTACTCTGTTGTTGAAACGAACTCTGGTAGGTTTTGAAGGTGAAATGAGCTTCATTCTAAAAAAAATCGAAAAGGAATACATTTTTCTTTTACTTACGTTCAAAGCTTGTAAAGATTATGTATCTCCCGGTTTTGGGCGGAGGGGGTGGTTGGAGGATGGAGGATTTCTGGGGGGGGGGCCACGAGGTTTTCAGGGAGGACGGGTGGGAGATATTCGCTGGTAACAGATCATAATGGTGGGGGGGGGGGACTTTAGTAAATTGACTGCCAATGAGGGTGAGATAATTTAAATACCACGGAGCCCTAGGGGAGAATCAGGTAAACTTTATTGTGGCACAATCAAAACCCTCCGCACCTAGGCCTTCATAGATTATGCCAGTAAAAGTAGCATATTATGCTTGTAACATTGCTTTTTTTGGCGAAATTATGCTAAAATTATGCTATTTTTTCCAAATTATGCCCCTTTTTTTTAAATTATGCTCTTGAAAAGATTGCAAATAAGTCCAAAAAATACATTTTTTAACTAGAAGCCATTGGTCTACAAGAAAGAAACGCAACAAATCCACAATGAAATTCAAATAAACATGTGGTTCATGTTAACCCGTGCTCGATCGTTTCAGACGCCGCTCAATGATTCACAGTGAACTACAAATGCTACTACTTGAACTAAAACTTGAAACATCGAATAACGTCACCAAGTGCCTGGGAGTGGAGATGAACAATGATCAAATTATAGCATCAAAAATGATCCGATAACCATCAAAATATGCGAATTATGCTAGCATTATTACTTGGCAGAAATTATGCCAGTTTGCTCAAATTATGCTATCATAATCTATAAAGGCCCACCCGCACCCCTCTCCCCTCCCCCCCCAGCGATAAATAATGACCGGTTCCTTATTTAACTAACGATGCATCCTAATTACCACGATTTTGTCACTGACTTACTTTCAGGCTTCAGCTGAGGGGCGGTTGCTTAGGAGTGAAAATGATCGAACCCTAAATAACAGAGTTAAAATCTAAAATAGCAACATCCCGCTTCTTTTTCGATATAAACACTGCATCGTAGCAATTTGCTAGTTTTTTTCGGAGAAGAAAATTGGTTTGAGTCACACTCGTCAACAAAAGTTTGTGATATTTAGAATATTTTACCGTCAAGGGACCGGCCAAATTTTTAGAATCCTCTCTCTTCCCCCTCCCCACCCTCCCCCTAACTCCTCTCCAATAACTGTGTAGTGATAAGGTAAATTCCCACTTATGTAACAAGCCGAACTATACATGCATTTTGATTGGTTCTTAGTTATGAGATATTGGAGGACAGACGCATAGATGACGTCATCATGAACAACTTTTTTGGGCTTTTCTTTTATCATATTAAACGAATAGACTCCATATTGGCATGGGTCTGAAATCTATTTGTTAAATTGAGATTTAATTTTGCTGGTTCTCTTTCGCTAATGAAACTATTTCTGATACAATGAAATATATGAAGTTCATATATTTTGAACTGCGGTATTAGATACATATGATACACGATCCTCGCAGTAGATAGCGCTATTTAATCAAAATCAACTCAAATCGAATCAACTCAAATCGAATCAACTCAACGGCCTGCTCCCAGTTGGCTCGTTAGCTCAATTGGTAGAGCGCTGCACTAGTATTGCAGAGGTCAGTGGTTCGAATCCCGTACAGGCTTGATTTTTTTCAGGTCTGATTTTCGCTATTGCTTAAATAGCGCTATCTACTGCGAGGATCGTGTATCATATGAAACTATTTCTATATCACTTATTTAGTAATCGTGCCGCAATGATGGAGGAAAATGGGTCATAGACAGGATGACGATCATGGAGACGGTTACGGCTAATGCAGGTTAGTTTTTGTTACATTTGTGTCAATGTTTTGGGAAGCCGGTGGATGCTAATCCGTGAGAGATTCTGATGTTTTTTTCTACACGATATTTTGCCATTTGACTTCAAAAAAATTATTTTCCGACATAGTTCCGTTGCAAAACTGAAAACAAGTGGATAATTCAGCAAAGTGCTGAAGTAAAAAAACAAAGAAACAAATAAACCAAAACTTAAAACAAAACAAAAGCAAAAGAAAACGTCTCACGGGGTCGCGCAACCGTGCTTCGAACAACCTCAACAAGGTTTGCGCAAGCAGATATGGCCAGTGGTCCACGATTTTTTTGAGGAGGGGGTGCACCACTAAAGAATGGCGTAACTGACTGGCGACTGGACGAAAACGAATTGTAATAGCGAATACGAAGAAGGCTTTTCCCCAGGCAATAACATACCTGATTTTAACGCCGTTCAACATAAATTCGTCCACCTCGTCTCTTGCTCTACTTCAACACCAATAAACCACATAGTATTTTTTTTTTTTGCAGAATACCACTTGTATTAGAAAGTCGCAGGTCATCTCAGGGGGATGGGGTTCGCACCCCCTGCACCCTCCCCCTAGATCCACCCCCGGTGATAGTTTGAGGAGGGATTAGTTTGAGAGGAACACGTTTGACTTAAAATGAATTGCGACCAAAATGTGACAAATAATGTGAAAAAGATAAGCGGCATTTGGTTCCTGGAAGTTATTTTGGCCAGAAATTGAGTAGAGAAAATGTTGATGAAGCCGTCGACAATTTTCATGGAATAATACACCACTTAGTCAGATCTGAAGAAATATACAAACATTGCAAGAGAGTATAATGATGTTCCGGAAATTTGTAGAAAAATTAATTGATTATATAAGCATTCACGAGGAACCACAGAGAACATACATGTCTTTGCCTATTTCACTTTCATTTATGCGCCGATGTATTCGAAGCCTCAACATACCCCCCCCCCTCTCCCCCTTGACCCACCGGTGTTTGACTGCCGTCCTTGCCCAGAGGGTGGGGAATTTTAAGTTTGCTTGGCGAGGTTGGTAATTTGAACCGGAGGTGTCGAATCTTTCTGGCGGAATACAAGTGTTATACCTTGAAATATGGAGGTGTCAAAAGGTGAAAAATTCACTTTCGCGAGCAAATGGCCAAGAAGAAAAGGTCTACAATGTCTAGAGTTTAAAGCATCGTCGTGGTCAATGTGTAGAAAGTAACAGTCACCGATGTCGCCTTTTGCAAAACAAATTGGGTGGGATATTTGAACAGAATGTTTGCCTCGGGGGCAGGAATAAGAACAAACTAATCTCGAAAAATTTTAAATACAAGGATTTCTCGGGGAGGGGGGGATGTTGAAGCTTGGAATTGATCGACGCATTGTTTTTTTAACTAAAAACAGCTTCATAACTTCATCAGCAGAACAGAAAGAAGACAGAAAAAGAAAAATCTTCAGTACTTATGTCTATTGGTAAAATCAGCGTCGTTTTTTTTTTTTATGCAACCCAGCCTAATGAAACGCCGAAATATTTTCCTTGTCACGACAGATCGCTTAGCATTTATTTGCATCTCTTTAAATTGAGTTACTTGGCCTGTCCGACCATATCAAAGATTTTTATATATATTTAGGTCGTACCACAATAATGCCTATAAATCAAGTTAATCGAGACTACAACAAAATTCTTGAACTTTTTATCACCTGCGTTCTGACTATGCAATTGGATGGAGTGCGCGCTCTTGAACTGATAGCTAGTCCGTTTCTCATATTTTGTAAAAATAATAATAATAATAATAATAATAATAATAATAATGGTTTATTAGTACTCCGCCTGGTGGCTCTTCTGTACTAATTCAATACAAAAAAAATATATATATATATATTAGGAGTTGCTAGTTGCCAGTGTCATAAAATGTTTTCTGCATTTACTGTCGAATACTTTGGGTTCTGTACAGTTTTTAATGTCTTGAGGTAGACTGTTAAATAGCATAGCAGCAGAATTTTGTAGCGTTCCGGAGACAGTCGATGGTTCAAGGCGACGCTCGCAAGAAGATCTTGGAGCCCTGGTAGGTTTATGTTCGACCAGTTTGAGGCAGGTTGGCCAGCAGTTTAGATGTAAAGCCTTGCATATCGTCCTGGTTATGTGATAGTCTGGGCGATAACTAATGGGGAGCCATCCGAGTTTCGAAACATCCGACATATCCGCGTAGTGATTGTAGACAAAACTTGCCGCAGCGACTTGGACACGTTGGAGTCTCTGCGTCAGGAACTTAGGACGGAATGGCGGATGACAGACTATATCGTTGTGATCGATTAACGACAGCACGAGGCGCTCTGCTAAGCGTTTCCTGACGTGAAAAGGGGCAAGATTCTTGAGTTTCTAAATAATAGTAAGAGTATTTTAGCACTTTGATATTTTGGAAAGAATGTCATCGTTCCATTTCAAGTTTTCGTTGATTTCTGTGTCAAGTAATCGAGTGGTTTTGATTCGTTCTAATTTAGCACCATTTATATGCAAGTTGATCGGGTATTCATCAAGCTTATGTACACGAGCCAGTTGTTGAGTCGAGAACTGCACCGCCTTTGTCTTGTTAGGATTCAAACGAAGATTTCACTCGCTTGAACAGGTTAAGAGCTGATCCAAGGCGTGTTGTAATTGGTCTTCACACTGCGTAATGTTCGCGGGTTCGTTGTGCGCGTAGATGGTTGTGTCGTCAGCGTACTGGTATGATGTTACGGATGCCTCCAGGCTATCTGACAAGTCATTGACTTAAACATTGAAAACGACAGGCCCCAATATGGAGCCCTAGGGAACACCGAAGGCCACCTCAATGGTACTTGAAAGTTTGTCATCTATCTGAACAAACTGTTTTCTCTCAGGGAGATAGTTAGTGACCCATCTGAGGTACGATTTGGAGAAACACATTTTGGAGAAATGGCAGATACACCCGTAGCTCTTTCAGCAGTAGAGGCAAAGAAAGAGTTTAGCTCTTCGGGTTGTACCCTAAGTGGTTGTGGGCTTGATTGAAGAATTCTGTGTAGAACTTGCCAGCATATCTCTTTAGGTTTGGAAGAAGACAGTGCCTTTTTGATAGAAATCGCTCTTAGTTTTCTTGATCTTGGACTTGAGTTTATTCCTTGTAT